ATTTCGTATGCGTCTACGGCTGATTGCCGCCATGACACATAGTCATCTTGTTCTCCCGTAAAATCCGGCATGGTCTTAACAATGTCCAGCTTAACTTCGCATCGAATGTTTGGGTCTACTGTTATCTTCTGGTAAGCTTCCACTTGCGGTGTTTCCACGCGCAAGTTCTGCATTTGCTTCTTTACCTCATCTAATCTAGCTTCTTGCTCGGCTAAAGCCTGGTTAACGGCTCCAGTTATAATTGCTTGTAACTGGGCGGCGTCCATGTCTGTAGTGTTACCTGTCGTAGCAGGACGAAAACATTCTGTTTCCAAGTCCCACCCGTCGTCACTATTGTACTCGACCTTGCTATCTCTATATGCACCTGCCCAACTCATTTACCATTGGTTGGCACCACACAAATTAACTCTTTCCGAGCACGGTTGATCGGCTATGCGAGCGCGATATTTGCACGCGCGAGAAATAGAAGGCGACACAAAAGAAAAAATTTGTTCCCTAAAAACAAACAAGGAAAGGGTCAGCGCAGAAGAAATAATTATTTGTTATTAATTCCTTTGGGCAGCAATAGCTCAAAGTAACCTAGGGTATGCTGTAGAATTTACGCTTGGTAAAAGTACGCTGTGGAAAATAATACTCCCTAAAAGCAAACAAAAAAGGCTGTTAGCTTTTTTATTTATTAAATATTCAACACTCAATTCCTTAGGTTGCCGAGTTGACTTCACTAATCAAACTTACATGACTTGTACTCTTAACCCTAAGATACTACTAGGTCCAGGTCCTTAATGAACGTCGGGCGCCAATTAGCTTTTTCCTCCCGTTCGGATGTCTTCTACGACTCCAGACGCTGGTGGTTCTTCTTCCAGAGTCCTCGGTATCCGGCTGTTAAGCAAGAGAGTGGTGACTTCTTACGGAGATTAGGATGGAGGGCGTGACTTTGCCCCCTTGGTCGATCGTTGGCCTTTTGGCTCAGCGAGAATGTTCAATATAAAGAAATGGTATTTTACGGCCAAGAGCCGGAGTAGCCGGAGTATTGTTAAAGTGCTAGCTTAAAACTGAATACAAAAAATATAAAAAAATATGGATCTACTGTAGCTCCAATGCATCACGCCATAAACCCATGGTCGGCAAGCCGACTCAGCAATTATGCAACATAGCTCGGTAACCCGGATAAGGGGTGTCCGATGCCGTTGCTGACCGTTCGTAGCGCGGAGCGCTGAACTCAGTTGGGGCGCGTCAGCATTGTTTAAATATAGCTGTGCTCTTAGTTGTTAACTTATATCCTTTGAAATACCTTAACTTTTGATATACAGCATATGTATATATAAAGTATATATAGTGACATATTCACTCTTCATATAAAAAGCTAAAGCCCATCTTTTGGATAGCTTCACTCTTCAAAAGCCTCATAAATAACATACTCCCAAGATACGAATGCATTCAAAAAATACAATTCAATGGTCACTCCCCGAAAAGTTGTTCATGACCTTAGCGAGGCATGACATTTCAACCTTTCAAAAATTAAGACTTACCGCCCAACAAGAAGGTCTATACGAAAACCAAATTCACTTAACACCTATAAACATACAAACATTAATCAAATCAAAAGCACTCACCCCAATCAACGATTCATTCGCCCCTTTATTCCATTAACAAATCCCACACAGACCCAAGACACTAATTTAAACAATCAACCCCTTTTAAACAAACTCCTCCGACCAGCAATTTGATCAGAACAGAAATTTTTACAACGAATTCAGAACATTCACCTTATTATGACATTCTATTAGGAAGAAAAATACTAATGGAAAATAACGGTTTAATAGACTACTTTCGGAACGAAACAATAATTAACGAAAAAAGATTCATTCAAAAAGAACTAGATCCAAGAAAACAACTTTACATCAGAAAAAAAATAAGCCATGGACAACAACATAGACTCAGAACACACATACAGACTAGAACATTTAAATAGTGAGAAAAAATTCAGACTTACAAATTTATTAAAAAAATTCAGAGATATTCAATATTGCAAAAATGAAAACCTTACATTCACGAAAACCCAGTTTTCAAAAGACCATACTCGTATGGCATACTCGTATATATGGCTAAATATTGGCTAAATAATATTAAAGAACTTAACACGAAACTACAACGTTGGCGAATTAGACTTAGTAAATATAATTTCAAAATCAAATATTTAGAAGGTAAACTTAACCATGTAGCAGACGCTTTATCTCGCGTCAAAATTGAAGAAAACATGGTAGGCGAAGAAGAAAATATTTCAACAGCAGCAACAATACACAGTTCATCAGAAAGCAACGAAACCTACATTGATATTACAGAAAAACCAATAAACTATTTTGCAAGACAAATTGAATTTATTAATGATACCGTAGAGCAAGTAGAGGCAACGAAATACTTTTCCAAAACAAAACTGACCATCAAATACACTGACATGACCCTGACAAAGGCAACAGATATCCTCATTAAATACTTCTTAAATAATAACAGTGTTATTTACCTGGAAAACGATAAAGACTTTTTAGTTTTTCAAAAAGCATATCGAGAAACCATTAAGCCACACAGTACGTGAATATTCTGAAAAGTATCATAATGTTAAAAGACATAAAATCTTATCCTGAATTTAAAGAATTTATTATTACTCAACATTCTAAATTGTTACACCCTGGTATTGAAAAACTCACTATTTTCCCGATTATAATAAACTAATTCAAAACATTATCAATGATTGCGAAATCTGTAACCTTGCAAAGACAGAACATAGACAAAACTATTTTTCGAAATAACTCCAGAGACAAATAACCCACGAGAAATTTATGTTATTGATTTTTATGCAATTGACAACGAACAGTATTTATCCTGTATAGACGTATATTCAAAATTCGCTTCACTTATTAAAACAAACGGTAGAGATTGGTTAGAGGCAAAACGAGCCCTAACTAGAATTTTTAACGACATGGGAAAACCAAAGAAAATTAAAGCAGACAAAGACTCCGCGCTTGTAAGCACTTCTTTAAAAATTTGGCTAAACAACGGAGACATACAAACAAATATTACCACAAGTAAAACAGGAATAGCAGACATAGAACGCCTTCATAAAACCATAAATGAAAAAAATACTGAGAACAATAGAGAAAATAAAGAAAAACGAATGGAGACAATTTTATACATATACAACCACAAGACTAAACATAACACAACCGGACAGACACCGGCTAACATCCTTCTTTACGCATGCACACCTACTTATGATACCCAGGTGATTAAAGAAATTAAAATCAAAAAACTTAACAAAAAACGATAGGATTCGAAATCGACACAAGCACCCTTAACGCGCGCAAAATCAAAGAATCCCTTTAGAAAAACAGGCAGAATAGAACAATTAGATGAAAAACATTAAAACGAAAATAATAGAGGCCAAAACGTTATTCAAAGCAAATTCAAAAAGAAAAAGAAAGTTAATGACATCAAATACTTGCATCAAACCGACACCTTCCAATAATCGGACTCATAATCACCATAATAACTTGTACTGCGACACAAACTACAGCAGGAACACTCGAAATCACCCAATAGAAAACAATCAAGGATTTATCTTGTTTGAATCTGGAACAATACAAATAATAATATTCAACAATACACAAATGTAATATTTACTGAACACAATGTAAACAAAGTCGAACCAATGTCACGCATAGAAATTAAAGAAATTATTTTGTAAAACAATAAGAATAACACAATTTATAGAAACATTCTAATAATCTTTATATCTGTTTTAGTTTTAATTTACATATTTTACTTTTATATGAAATGTAAAACAGCGCCATACAAAATTATTATCTCTTACCTAAAACCAATTAAAACTGCTAACAAAAATATCGAAAAAGAAACAGAATCAAAAACAGAAATAGTTGAAATTAAAAATGCACAATTATATCTAGAAATAATCGCCTGAGGACAAGCTAATATCTAAAAGGTGGGGGAGTGACATATTCACTCTTCATATAAAAAGCTAAGGCCCATCTTTTGGAAACATTCACTCTTCAAAAGCCTCATAAATAACATTCTCCAAAGACACCAACCGCTTTACGGTAACAACTAATGATCCGGTAAGCTTGTTATTAGTTAGTTTATTAACTTGTATTAGTTTGGCAAACTAATCCGCCTTTTTGTCTTTTGAATTTCGCGGCTATGTACAAAGCTCGTATCTGGCAATACTATAAATAATTTGAAAGGTCTTGACATAACCTACAAAACGACGCTATCCATGATTAGTTTGGATATTGCGTTCAACAGTTATTGACGTGTAAACATGGAGTTCACTAACGCCGAAATTCGCGCTATTTTAAAGTTTTCCTTTGTTAAAGGCAAATCCGGTAGAGAAACGTTCTGTGAGATTAATGGTGTTTTGGGGGATGGTACTCTATCACTTCGAACCGCGGAGGAATGGTTTCGACGATTCAGAGCCGGTGAAAACGACACCATGGATTAGCCAGCCGGCGGAAGACCTGTGACGACAAATACCGATCAAGTCATGGAATACATTGAGTTAGACCGGCATGTGGCATCTCGTGACATCGCCCAGGAGATGGGAGTTAGTCACCAAACCATTTTAAACCATCTGCAGAAGGCAGATCATCATACGGTCTGGGAACTCGACTGTAGCCTTCTCCCTTGTTTTGTCGTTTATTTGTTATATAACTAAATAATTTGTCATACAATTATTAACTATAACCGAAGTGAAAAATTTTTTTAAATGTTAGAACAGTAAATTTCTTCTTTATCTTTATTTGTCATTAAACGGGATTGGTAACGGGATTTATTGAATGTTTTGAAATAATTACTTTCAAATATAAAACTATTGTGAAAAATATATCGTTGCATCTTACATCTAAAAATGTTTCCAGTTGTCCCTTTTTTTAATTTCCTATTTGCGATGAATATTGTATTAAAGTTTCTTTTTTCATTGGTACTTATAGGCATGTGTAATATCCGGTGAATCTGGAGCTGGGAAAACGGAGACTACAAAATTTATACTGCAGTACTTATGCACAATTACTTCAAACGTTTCCTCCTGGGTTCAGCAGCAGATTTTAGAGGCCAACACTATTTTGGAAGCATTTGGTAAATGACATTTTTCAACTAAAACTATTATTTTTTAGATAATAATAATAATTTAACGGAATTTGTGATTTTGTGAAGCTTAAAGATCGCCAAGTTAGACTTCATTTACATTATTTTTTATTTTCGCGATATAATTACAATTGACGCTGAAGGACATTCTACTTGATCTGCATGCACGTTTTCGAGAGGTTTTAATATCTATATTCTTATATGTTAATATAATATATATACATATGTATATACGGATATGGTTGCTTCGGATTCCTAGCTAAAGCTAAAGCTGAGGGCATCTTCTCTAACCTCAGTATTTAATAGAATAGCACTGTCCGGTTCGTGTATCCTAACGGTCTTCTCTGTTATTAGTGTTAGCTGTTTCTATGTCGTTCTCCTTGCGTGACTGTTTCAAGTCCCTGTCGAAGGTCCGCGTAGGTGCAGTCCAGTCGAGCAATTATGGCATCGAAATTCAAGACTGTGTTATGGGCAACTAGTAGCCCTCTTACCGATCCCCTGATCTTAATTCTGATAGTAGAAACGGCTTGGTAGTGTGCCTCGCTGCCTTGATATGGTTTGAAGATTTCATATGCGGCTACGACTGACTGTCGCCACGATAAATAGTCATCTTGGTTTCCCATAAAATCTGGCATGGTCTTTACAATATCAAGCTAGACTTCACATCGAATGCTTGGGTCTACAGTTATTCTTTTGTAAGCTTCCTCTTGTGGTGCTTCCACACACAAGCTTTGCATCTGTTGTTTAACCTCATTTAATTGTGTTTGGAATGTCTGTGTCAGTCTAGCTTCTTGTTGGGCTGTCCTAGCTAACGGCTCCAGATATAATTGCCTGTAGCTGGGCAGCGTCCATTTCTGTAGTGTATTATGTCGTTGGTCGAAAGCCTTGTGTTTCTAAATCCCACCCGTCATCACTATCGTATTCGACTTTAATATCTCTATACTCACTTGCCTAACTCATTGACTAATGGTTGGCGCTACACAAATTTATTTTTGCCGAGCACAATTGATCGGCTTTCTCGAGATAACGAAAATATGTTGCGCAAGAAATAGATTGAAAGTTGACCATTTTTATCTTAAAAAAGGTTTTTTGACAAAAAATAATTTAATTAATTTTAATTTATTTTAATTTAAAATTTTTTTGAGCCGCAAGAATCATAAGGTAACTTGGGGCATGCAATAAAACGTATTTTTTGCAATGGAAAATAAATCACAAAAGGTATGCAATATTCTTTGCACTGTTCACTATATTTATTCAATTGCTCAGCAAGTTGAGATTATTAGCTTGGGTTGGACTTTCTTTGCGACAGAAAATCTTGGGGGTATGCGGTTGAGTTCACTTATCAAGCTTACATGTTTTGTAACTTTACTAGTCTGTTAGGTTAAGATTGTTTGCGTGTCAGGGTGCATAGGTTGAAGTGTGGTCCAGCGGCGTTTGCTGCTGTCCGTGGAATATTGCAGTGAAACTGCAATTCGGTTATAACAAAGTCTTCTTATGATGATTACGTTGGAGAGTTACTTTACTCCCTAGTCGCTGGCCTTGTGGCTCAGTAATTGTATCAATGATAAGACAAAGTTATTACAGCTATAGCCGGAGCAATGTTTTATTCGTGAAGCGCAAGCTTTCAGATCATGGACAGAACTTAAGTACAAAATATTTCAAAGCACCCTAGCTCCAATGCATGGCGCCATATAGTCGTGGTCGGCACGCCGACCAAATAGGCAGTGTCCGACTACCGCTGCTGGACGCATTGCTTGTATAAAACTACAGTTGTTGAATCAAATATATCGAGTGTTTTTTTCAGTCGTTAAATTATAATCTACTTAAGGATTAATTCGGAGACTACAACAGTTCTTAAATTTAAGAAAATTTAACATGTCAACTTTGGAGGCACAATTAAGATCTACGCACCTCAGCTGTGCAATAACTTTGTTCGCTCTGTCCCTCCATCTCTCTCTTATACTCGCGCGTGTTCGTTTTGTAATAAAGTCTCTCAAATTATTTGCTTTCGTAACCTATGCATATGCGCATCGTTGCAATATTTCGCTTTAACTACCTAGAATAAAATATGTTAATAATAGGTTGGCAAATATCTCTCTTCCGCTTATTTGCTCTTTATTCAATGCTTTATAAAAAGTGTTACAGTGATCGGATTTAGTTCAAATATGCGCCGTTTTGTTCGATAATCTGTTTCCATCTAGACGGCAACTTCATAATACCTCCCTCGTAGAAGCCCCCCTCCTTATTTGCGAAGAACTCGGACAGCCACTTTTCATAAGCCTCTTTTGAGTTCAACTTTACACCACCAAGGGCATTCGCCATGGACAGGAACAGGTGGTAATCACTTGGCGCTATGTCCGGGCTATATGGTGGATGCGATAAAACCACCCATCCGAGCTCCCGTAGCTTCTGACGAGTCATCAACGAAGTGTGTGGTCTGGCGTTGTCCTGGTGGAACACTACACCCTTCCTGTTGGCCAATTCTGGACGCTTCTGGTCGATCGCCTGCTTGAAGCGGTCCAGTTGTTCGCAGTAGATGGTAGAATTAAGCGTCTGGCCATATGGGAGCAACTCATAGTGGATGATTCCCTTCCAATCCCACCAAACACACAGCAAAACCTTCCTGGCCGTCAGTGCCGGCTTGGCCACTGTTTGGGACGATTCACCGGCCTTCGACCACGACCGTTTTCGCTTGATATTGTCGTATGTGATCCATTTTTCGTCGCCAGTCACCATCCGCTTCAAGAATGGGTCGAGTTCGTTCCGTTTCAGCAGCATATCGCAGGCGTTGATTCGGTCCAGAAGGTTTTTTTGCGTCAAATCATGCGGCACCCAAACATCAAGCTTTTTTTGGTATCCAGCCTTCTGCAGATGGTTTAAAATGGGTTGGGTACTAACTCCCATTTCCTGGGCGATGTCACGAGATGCCACATGCCGGTCTAACTCGATGTATTCCATGACTTGATCAGTATTTGTCGTCACAGGTCTTCCGCCGGCTGGCTAATCCATGGTGTCGTTTTCACCGGCTCTAAATCGTCGAAACCATTCCTCCGCGGTTCGAAGTGATAGAGTACCATCCCCCAAAACACCATTAATCTCACGGAACGTTTCTCTAGCGGATTTGCCTTTAACGAAGGAAAACTTTAAAATAGCGCGAATTTCGGCGTTAGTGAACTCCATGTTTTCACGTCTATAACTGTTGAACGCAATATCCAAACTAATCATGCATAGCGTCGTTTTGTAGGTTATGAGGTTATGTCAAGACCTTTCAAATTATGTATTGCCAGATACGAGCTCTGGTGCGCTTTGTACATAGCCGCGAAATTCAACTACATCCCTTTACCTCTTCAATGCCATAAATGTCACTGACAAGGGCATATCACAAAAGCCTTTAAAATCCGAAAACTTTGATCCAACTGCTTTTCAGCTGAAGCACAAAAAATGCACAAATAACAAATTAATTATTTGTAAAAATTACGTTAACGACCAGCACAACGACAGCCCGTTAGACAAATCATGCCCAGTTTTCCTCAAGCAAAAATAGATAATGGCTATCAAAGTCATTGAGCGAAGTCACCCATCAACCAACAATATACGAAAAAATTGGCCAACCAAAGAACGCACCCAATATAAACACCCAAATGGAACAAAAAAAAAAGACCTTTACTGATCGTTTTCGACAACAAACCTCCCATTTCCTGGACTGCAACTTCGCACCTCAAAAACGAGGATATGGAAATCGACCGCATCGATCCCTACATTCAAAAGGTCAACAAGAAAGACCCACCAGAGTCCGGCCGTAAACTGAAAAGCCAAAATAAAGAAAAATCAATAATTTCTAAGCCCCTTAAGGCGAAAAATAAAACAGAAAAGACATCGACTAAAAAACTTTCAAATTCGTATAGCTAAGTAACAAACCTTACACCCTAACTAAAACTTAAACCTAAGCCGTCAATACCACATTTAAGTTATGCTTTAAGCCTTAATTTTCTCAAAAATATTTTTGAGAATTCAGTAAACTATCCTCAACTATTACAACCGATCTGGAAGGAATACCCAGAAATATACAATCTAAACTAAAATTAAACCTATTTAACACATACATTTCTCCAACCGAAAACATTTATAACCAGACACTTAAAAGCACAAAACAATTACAACAAACACCCTCACTAATTACAGGAGATTTCAATGGATGGAATCCGTCCTGGGGCTCCCCACCAACAAATTCACGAGGAAAATAACTCAAAGACTCTTTGACAATACACACCTTACTCTCCCACACCACACACAATACTTACACACACATCGAAATCAGCTCCTTAAGCCAAGTGGGAAATACTAAACGACCTCCATGGTAGCGACCATTTTCCTATTATCACGACCCTATTTCTAACAACTAATACACAAAAATTCAACCGCTAAATCGCAATTTCAAAACTATACCCCCTCTTCAACTGCCCAAACTATAGAAAAAAACATAACATATCTCGAAATTATCTCAGCCCTACAAACAGTGAAATGATCTGCTCCAGAACATTAAAGATTCTTCTTTTTTTTATTTGCATTTATTAAGGCATACAGGGTACACCAAAAACCTTTTTGTGACTTTATTATCTATTCTTTCAGACCGTTTGGGCGCGCCAGCTAACACAGATAAGCGGTAGTAACAATAACAAAACTATAACAAATGTATCAAATGGAAACATTGAATTCTGGGATGGGAACAGTCAGGTTCACCAGCTTCTCGGGACCCTCATCAAAGGAAAACGAAGGATCAGTCCATTGGTTGACGTCTGTTGAGCCTCCTTGGTGGGCGAGATATGGACAGGGCATTAGCAAGCCGGTTTCGGTGACTTCCCAGTCTGTCATGGTGTTGATCCGAGTGCCTATTTATCTCGTCGAAGACCGTAAGCAGCGTCAGGTCTTTGTGTAGGGTAGTGCTTCGCACGAACCACTCGCAGCCAGTTATAGTCCTAGCAATTCTGTTT